CTGCTAAGCAGAAGGTCAGTGGTTCAAACCCAGCAGCTTATCCACAGGAAGACCATGAGGTAAACTACTTCTGTAAAGACTTACCACCTTAGAAAAGTTGGGGGACACTATGGAATTGATTTGATGGCAGATATATATACACACACACACACACACACACACACATATATACTGTGAATACATTTTCTTAGACTCATTAAATCTATACAGTGATTATAATTTTTAACCAAATCCTACCAGAAATTCTATTATTTTTAACTAAGTTTTCAAAATAATGTATGCATTATTGTAAATATTCTTATATAAAAGTAAATATTTTAAGCAATTATGATCTCTCTTTCCATATCCCAACCTAGTATGAAATCAATGGTTAGAAGGGAATATATTAAAATTCTATCTGAAATCCTTACCTTTTTCCAAAATGGAAGACAAGAAGTGAAGGTGGAACTGAGTGAATAGAGGTCTGTCTGCTCTTGTGGCTGCTTATATCTTTCATTTAATGACATGCTAATTTTGTGGTTTAAAATTAAACTAATAGGTAGATTCTATTCCAAGAAGTATGCATCACTAGAAAATGATTTCTTCTTCTTATCTCTCCCCAGAAATCTGGGGAACATTTTAACAAGGGAGCAATTCACCAACTGGTAAAGGATACTTGTCCAGGAAATTCTATTGTCCAAAAACTAAAGGCAGTATCTGGAGGACAGTGGCACTCGGATTCAATCATCAAGGCACTGTGCACACAATTTGGTCTTTCTAATACTTATTGAGACCACAAGATCCCAGGTGAGGGAAAATGCTCTGAGAACATGAGAGATATTCAGAGGTTTCACAAAAACCACATTTCATACTAACCTGAGCAACCAATAACGTTTTATCCTCCAGGGGAAAAAATGGCAATTTAGCCAAGTTCAAAGTGATAGCTGAGTCATGTAAGGCAAATTACTTAATTCTCAGAATTGTTTGATTTAGGCAAAATAAATTACAAAATCCGAATCTTTATTTTTACATGAGAGGAATAAACCTTCCTCTGTAATGGAACAACTCAGAGAAGTAATCTGGATGGGTTTTATAGGCAAAATCCTGGATATATTTACTACAAAGTTGTACAAAATGTCATAGAGACTTATTTAACAAATAATGATTCAGAACAAAAAGAGGAAGAAGAAAAAGAAGAATATACTCTTTATCTAGTGCTATTACTGCTAACCTCATGCCAAGCACTAAGGATTTTACACACATTATTTTGTATAATCCTCACAAAAACATAACTGAGACAGCTCTCACCTCCATATTTTAATTGAGCAAATAGATAATAAGATGTTAAGTAACTTGTTAGAAATCATTTTGTTAATGGCAGAGATAACCATTTAAAACCAAGCATATCTAAGTATAAATGACTTCATTTGATCACATGCAGTGTTTTAGGGCCTATGGCTTAACTTTCTTGGAATTTTGTCATAATATTTGGCTGTCACTGTATTATTTTGGTTTAAACATGCAGAAATTATTCCTTATTAGAGGAATGGGAAACTGGTGCTAACCCACCAGCTACTCCTTGCAAAGAAGGTTGGGCAATCTACTTCTGTAATGAT